TACATGCCTAGTGCTTATTAAAAACCAAGAACTGGTCTGAAAATAGTTTTAATTTTCCGGTTGTTTCAAAAATCCCAATTTTTATGACTGGGCAAGAACAATGTCAGTATTATATTACGCCGGATTTAGATAATACATTGTCTTGTACTAGATCAATAACAATGTCTAGCATTAATATTTTCTAAATTAAAACACATAGAAAATGTGAAACGTGGTATAATATTAACTTCCTTTCCTCTTTAGCTTTTTAATTGCACAACGATAAAAATTTGTCTTCTATACCATATTGGAAATCGGAAATAAAAGGGTCATCGCTCCTTACCATAACCTTTCTGATGAAGTTTGAGGAAACGGAGTTGTACGTCCTACTTTTCTACAGCTGATTGGACTAATAAAGTTCAACGCCACACAGTATGCAGTTACGACGGAAATTGTTAGATGTAATTATGAACTTGCGTTGACACGAGCATAACTTGGTATCGTCATACTTCTTTCAGAAAGAAGTTTTAGAAAACATCTTATGCTTAATACGGTAGCGACCCTATAGGAATCTAAAGTAATATATTGTCGAGTACTAGTAAGTGATCTCAAAAAAACCTAATTTCCATAGTTTGACTGAAAAATTTACATTAGAAACAAACTATCTTTAAATTCCTTATTTAGAATTGTAAGTATCATTGGAAATTGGGTGCAAGTTAGTCGTCGCAGATATTGATGTCTTTGATTTGGTCGTGTGTTTATGCTACACATCAACTTTCTTCCGCGGTTTCGTTAAAGCTTTCAATATTGAATGTACGATCCGGTCCTAATTACTGTCATTTCCGACCTTCTTCTCGAGAAAGGGTGAAGATGACGTCAATGTATCGTCGTTCTGTATAAAAACTTGCAAATTCTAATCTGTAATGCTATGATTGTGTGAAGAAAGGCCAAAGGCTCAGTTGTGTAAAATTTGATAATTACTTCTTTTTCTTACTTTGACCAGAATATGTTTGTATTCGCATCACTTTTCAAAATATATGATTGTTTTAACACATGATTACTAGCTCTGTTATCCAACAAGTTTCATATTTTGTTCATCTTTTCATAATATTTGACATATTTCTTATCCTCGTGCGATCGGTCTGGTATTCAGCATAAAATAATGCACTATTTATAATTATAGTGCTAGACATATTGCATTGGAAGAGAAATTTGGCTCATTTCATTGATATACTTCATCATGTGAGATGTTCATAAGCTGCTACCTTTGTTTCGCCAAAATGTTGTTTTGGATTTCGGGTTTCGTTTTGCGGTTCGGATTGTCCGTACATTGTTTATTTATTCCTATTAGCACACATTACAAACTATTACCTACAGTATTTTGTAACACGATTTTGTAATAATAGATCTACATTAAATCGATTTTTAAGATTCTTTTACTAATTGACACATTTCATACAATACATTACTATAAAATAATATACAGTTATAATATATATATTGTGTATAACATGTAGCTATTCACTGTTTTGCAAATGAAATTAAGGTTAGCGACTTTCTCCTGATTGGACTAATTTTACCAAGCAACGCCATGCAGTGATGAAAACGGCAATTTTTTTTTTATGTCAATGTTGATAATTTTGTAACTTGTTGCACATTGGGACCAGATTTATTGTTCAGCTTTGGGAGAAGGAGACAACCAAGAAAATGACTTTGTGCTAATATATATATGGTAGGTATACACATGAGAAATAATAGTAAGAAATTGTGGTGGTAGTGACAGTAAGGTTTGTGTAACTGAAAATGATCAAGAACAGCATGGGGAAGTGGTCCATATTGTGAAAGGTTTAATTAGGTAACCAAAAAAAGTTTGCGGATAAAAGGATTGCGAGAAGGTAGAAGGCATGTTAGCGAAAGTAATCAAGGACTTTTTAAAAAAGTAACAGAGGGAGTTTACCAAGCAAGGCTCTGAGGTGAGCAAGTAAGTCTCACGAAAGTTACCTAGGTTGGATTGCTCAAATGATTAAAAGTAAACCACATTAAGAGCCATGCCACAATTTAAGTAGAGAAATCATTGATGCGTTTAATTATTAAACGGACATATATATGATTTTATCGTTATGAGATTGGACTATGCCGAACATAGATCAATATGCTAACAAATAACTCTGTGCTTTATGTGAATACCGATAATTGGGTTAGTAGACTTTTAGGTTTACGCGAGTAATATGAGCCATCAATAATAACATAAAAATATTAATACTATAGTTTATATTTAGTCAATGATACTAAACACTTGTCAATATTGGTACTTATTTGATGTCCCTTGACTTGTAATAAATCATAAAGCCCTGTTTAGACTAGTTAAGAATTTTGCTATATACCGTTTCAAGTCCATGTACACGTATTTGCATCAGCGCTCTGTATTTTTGCAACAACATATTTCGTGTAGTTGCATGACTGGATTGCAGGAATAAAGGTTAACATTCTGTTTATGAGTTTTTGAGCACCTTCCAGATGAACAACGAAGACCTAAAAAAAAAACATAGACTGTCATGTCTTCCGTTAACTGATACGCACGGTTCTTAATGTCGTTCATTTTTATCTTTTCGAATTCAGAGGTATTCCCGAAATATGGGTGCTTTTGACTATTATCCCTCAAATATAAGTTTGTTCATGGAAAGATACTACTAACCACATAAGCAACTGTTAGTACCGTGCCATATAACAGAGCAAATTACCCAAACTAACTATCCATGTCATTGCATTAGTCGTAGCTGAAAATGACGGTTTCACATAAAAATAATTGTCCATAAATATGAGTCGAGGTATTATTATTGAGAATACAAGTTTTCTAGAACGTAAGTAGATTTGCGTGAATTATTGAAGGCAGTAGGTGTTTATGATTTCTATATTCTCTATTATATTATCATGAAAGCAATCATACTTTTACAACTTTCGCTCTCAACTAGATTTTTCCAATTATTGTCTGGATTATTTAGAGCAATCAAAATAATTGTTCTGATAGGCGGTCAGAAGTCAAGAGGCAGTAGCTGATGAATACGACTTTTATTAGATGGTGTTCATAAATCTTTTTGTTAAAGTGATGTGTCACATCGTCGTGCAGTGTGGATTATATGTCAAAAGATGTAATATTCATTTTAAATTGTAGTCAGTGAAAAGCATCGTGGATTACGGCTTAATGGCTAACACTGTAATTGAGAAGTATAATACCTTCCAATATTTGAAGGTGCCATTAGGACTCACAAAATGGTTTGCTTACTCGCTCTCCAAGGTCTACTGTTGAACTTCGGAATAGATTTAGATAGTGCTTTCAAATGTTCCTTATATGTATAGTGCAAATCATAAGGGCTTATGTAGAATGACTTGTTGACATAAAGATCATCGACAGTGGAAAGGGAACTTAGTAAATTTCCGATATTGCACACTTGTTAACGTTGTCAGTCTTCATTATTGCATACGTTGAAACTTCATTTAACATAATATAAATATACTACTAACTGAAAGTCTGTCAATTTAACAATAATAAGCAACATGTTATATTAATGATATACACCCTATGTAGCAAACCAATAAGTTAAAAGTGAATATAATATAAGAATTTGTCATCATTGTATTGTTCTAGTTGTCCATTGTAGTGTGAACGTCGTATAAATTTGGTCTTTGTTCAATGTTCTTAAGTTTTGGCAAATAAATAAATCAAAATGATTGCCAACTGTCGTTAAGTTATGAATAAATATAAAAAAGGCCCGAAGATGTAACCTTTTTGGTCATATCCGTATGGTGACAATGAAACTAAATTTGCTTTGCTCCGAAACTAGCGGTAAATGAATAAACAACATACATAACGAAGTATTGTTGGCTTTTATAATTGCAGACAGTTCTACTAAAACAGTATCCATATAAAAGTGCAAAATATTTGACACGCGTTTAAAATATTATTGACAAGGCTTTTTTCCTTTAATAAGATCGTAGTTTATTGTTTTTACACAGAATTTATGATATGGATTACGAAGAATCTTAACTTCCGTGAATGGAATAAACCTTTTTTCTGCACAATAACAATCTGCTTAACAACAAAAATCGATAGATTTTCAAGAAAACTGAAGTAATCCCCAAATGCCACAAAATCAATTATGTAAAATTTTGTCGATAATCCTCTTATTACATACCATATACACTTTATCATTTGCATTCCAACGCCCGACGCATTGTAACTGCATTCAAAATCGATATCTTCAAAACAAAACTTTCTAAATATTTTAAGACATAAGACAGAACTATCACTCAATTGATAGTCTATATTGTCTAATTAAAAGATCTGTAGACTTGTCTGTAGACATTTTGAAAAGCAAATAACTGACCGAATGATATTTTCTCGTTTACTGGTTGAATGGTTCCAGACTTAAGTTCTATTTCAAGGCAATCGATGATCAGTGAATATATATAATAACTGTAGTTATATTTAAGATGTCCACTGTCTTGACGACTAAGCTCTACTCTCTTTTTTTCTTTTATCTTCCAGGATTGATCGCGATAATGCAGGCGAATATCGACTAAATTACCACGTGGGTCTATTGAGCTGACCCAATCACTTATCAAAGAAACGATGGATTGAAACATTGTGGAGTTATATGGCGAGTTGGGTGGTGATAGAAGCTATACAGCAGTACGTTCCGCAATATGGTGACATTCGAGCAATTCGATTTGCCAACGAAACATTGATGAATGCATAGAAGTATTTCTCGGAGCAGAGCCTTTAAGGCATACGGACGTCAATGAAAACGATCGGCATTGTAAATTTACGATTTGAGAAATTTTTAGACGAAATCGAAAATGACTTTGTTTGATGAAGAATAATGTCAAAATGAGGAGAGTTTAAGGACTGAAAAAGAATGACAACAAAGCTTCTAACTATGGTGGACTCAGTTTATCGAAGCATCAAACTCTTACCGCTACTGTTGGTTGTGTTTACATGCATGTACCATGGAACTTGTTCTATGCCAAATCGGACTACAAAATCCATCAAATCCGCTTTTATAGCCGGGGATATTATTCTTGGAGGATTATTTCCTGTCCATCATAAAGGTGTCGGAGAACAACCGTGTGGAGAAATTAATCCGGATCGTGGAATCGAACGTTTAGAAGCTATGCTTTTTACCATTGATGAAATAAACAACAATAACAATATCTTGCCCGGGATTACCATAGGTGCTTCACTCTATGATACTTGTGCCAGAGGTACTTACGCGTTGGAACAATCGTTAGAATTTATCAGAGCTTCGTTTTATTCTTTGGATACTTCTGAATTTGTGTGTTCGGATGGCTCACAAGCCAAAGCAAAGTTTTCACCAACGAAAGTGACCGGTGTTGTTGGGGGTTCGTACAGTACTGTTTCCATGCAGGTTGCAAATTTACTAAGATTGTTTAAACTTCCACAAGTGAGCTACGCGTCTACTAGTGCATCTCTTAGTGACAAAACTCGTTACGACTATTTTTTACGCACAGTGCCACCAGATACTCTGCAGGCTAGAGCATTAGTTGATATCGTACAAGAGTTTAATTGGACTTACGTGTCAACCGTTTCCTCTGAGGGCGAATATGGGTCCTCAGGTATTGACTATTTCCAAAGAGAAGCTCGTGCGAAAAATATCTGCATAGCCGCCAATGTTAAAATTCCAGCCAAATCAACAAATAGCACCTTTGACAGAACTATTCGTGACCTTTTGGAAAAGCCAGAAGCCAAAGTTGTCATAGTATTCGTTAGAATTGAAGATGCCAAAGGCCTTCTTGATGCAGCAACTCGTTTCAACCTATCGGGAAAACATGTATGGGTTGCCAGTGACGCCTGGGGGAGGCAAGATAAACCCGTTAAAGATAACCTACTGGCGGGACAAGGTGCAATAACTTTAGAGCTTCAATCCACGCCTATTAAGACGTTTGAAAATTATTTCCGAAACTTGAACCCGCGAACTAATATCCGAAATCCATGGTTTAGAGAATATTGGGAGGCAGTAAATAAATGCAGTTGGCGAGAAAATACTAACAAACACGCTACTAGGAATATTAGATATTGTACTGGAGCTGAAAAACTTAATAGAAAAATCCACCAACAAGAGGGAAAGGTTCAGTTTATTTATGATGCTGTGTATGCATTAGCCATAGCTCTAGATAAAATGCAACGATCTTTATGCCCTAACACGACCAAATTATGCCCAGAAATGGAAAGAATTGATGGAGAACATTTCAAGGACTTTCTACTTAATGTCTCTTTCAACGGTAAGTGTTTTCGTTGTTATTCCTAACTTAAAGCCCATTTACAATTGACAGTGCTAAACCTATTCCGGTACAGGACAACCGATTGCACTTAGATCACTTTATCATGAAAAACAACAGCGCAATGTCAATGTCCATTTCTGAAACGTAACTGTTACTGGCATGCCAGCTGTATCAAAATTGGGGTTACAATTTCCTTATCACGATTATCACAGTGGCAGGCACTTCTATACATTTTTTATTTGTATCGAGACATGTAAAATCAGGATAATACGATAACGCCATGTTCAGTGCCATAAAAATAATCTCTGAAATATAACTGTTACTAAATTATTAACTTAATAGCATAAATGTATAAGCGATAACACAATGTAACTACATTCATTATTACATTATCGATGCAATTATTTTATTTGTACATTTAATTCAAGTTGCAAGGTTTAATTGTAGGTTTAATAACTGTGCAGATACTTATTCCGTCTCGCTTAATGATCACAGATAAATATCCGTAAATTTCACTTATATATTCAATATTATGAACCAAACAGTTTTGTGTTCCGAAAGACAACGACATAAGTTATTCGAAAACAATCGTTTTAGGAGTCAGTGGCGTCACAACCAAAGTGATTTCTGCTCAATAACTTGCTAGAGTGCCCTTCGAAATACCTGGTTACTAGAATACATCAGTTTTAAATTAAAATGCTTCGCTACAAAAAGCGCCTAGATGGGACAGTACGAAGTCAACTGATATCTCTATCTGCCTGAATTTACTGTCGACTATTTCAATGGGAATGTGTTAAGTCATAAATATCAATTAGGGTAATGTGATCTCACATGATCTAAATTTATATCGGCATTTCCAACATAAATCATCGAACTAAAAGTAAATATGTCACGAGAAACGTATCAATAGAACACATTATTACATGACAAACTACTCGATAACTGATATTTCTACTAAATCGCTAAGTATCAAGACAAAATAATTTCTATGATGGTAAAAAGTTTAAAGGTAAAATTACGGCGGTTTTGAGCATATCCTTCGCTGTTTTGTATTATTAAAAGGAGGCAGTTGTGGCATAAATTGTGCAATTAGGTTCAACACAGTATTGGTGGTAAAATATTGTATAGCTTTTTTTGATTTTTAAAACACAATTGCCGCCTATATTGCTTAAATTGATGAAGTAATATATTTTCTAATATTAAACCAATTGATCTATTCTTTTTCAAGTACAGGGATTTATTTTTTCCAGTATGCTAATCGTGGTACTGAATTTGATTTTGCAATTGAAATTCAGCTCAAATTACCATCAGCTATTTTTATTTGGTACTAAAACTGAAATAAGCTTCAGTTATTAGTGCTTATAATCTCTGTGATGAATATTAATACTAAGGACCATTGTTCCCGTGGTTAAACTGATTGCAGATAGGAGATTTTTTCTGTCGATATAAATCGGTCTAATGAATATATTGTTTTATCATCGTTCCGGTATCTTGGTTTATTTCCCCTCATGGTATGTTATCAGATTAGAGGACAAACTTTAATTAATAAGTTGATAAACGTTAAAGGGAGATTCCGCTTTTTGTGGGTCGAAAAAATTTTTTGCTCAAATTTAAGAAAACTATACAGCAAAATCAAAAGAAATGTGCCCTTCAACGTATCTGTAAGTTTCAAGTTAAAGAATCAAGCAGTCAATTTTTAAACGCAAAACATATTTAAAAACATTACGTAGGGTTTTTTAAGTTCGTTATGTTTTTTGGAATCTGTTGAAAAACTACTGTATGGATTTAAGTAAAATAAACGCCTAATTGTAGAGAAATATGGTTTCTACGTATTCTCATAATATCGAGCCATTATAAAGCCAAACACCAAAATTAGGTACTAATTCACAACTAGTAATCTTCATTTTTAATTAACTCTAATTAAAACAAATTCAGTTTGATCAAGTAGATACAGAGATATAATTTACATACTTTTTAAGTATAATTTTATTGACTCATTATTCATAATATTAACTACGCTGATCTTCGAAAGGGATGCTTGCCGTGTTGACAGATCAAGTTGCAATGTAGCATAAAATGTCAAGGAACAGTAACCCAGTTGCAATTTATCATCAGATAAACTATATTGAGGAACAGTAACCGCAGATTCATTCCAAAGATCCAAGAAAGAAGATGGCATAACTCACTTTGTTAAAAAAAAAAAAAGCACATAACGTTTAAACACAAAATACAAACAGTGACATTGGCACATCAGATGTTCAAAATTAATTATTGGGAGAACAGTAAGCACAGATTCATTCAACAAGACACAAGAGGAATGACTAACTTGTTAAAAATAAGCACATGGCGTTTTAACACAAAATACAAACCCAGTTGAAATGTGGCACATCAGATGTTCAGAATTAACTATTGGAGGAGCAGTAAGCACAGATTTATTTAACAAGACACAAGAAGAACAACTAACTTGTTAAGAATAAGCACATGACGCTTTAACAAAAATTACATGCGTACTGACTATGAAACGACCAAAAACTACCAGACACAACCTGGAAACGACCAGATAAGGCATGCAACATTTACTTGTATTATACACTAATGATATAAAGAAGGAGATAAATAGGCTTTCATGCATGTATTTATTGAAGTATAAAATTAAGTAGTACAGAACTTATTACACAAGGATAAAACCAACTATAAGAAAAATCAACAAGTCGACAAATTAAATGGGTTACACATAAAATGGCCATCCTGGATTGTTCAATTTTAGATAATATTGAAAAGTTGGTGTATACGGAAAGAGAAAGAAGTATAGTTAAGAATCGCTTGGCATTTTGGCATTTTGAGTTTACTCATAGTGAGATATGGGTTAAATGAAACACTAGCCAGCACCGAAAACGGACAAGGCTCATAAAATACCCTCGACCAACAATTACTTGGATTCATACAAAATTAATATCAGTGCCTAAATGATTTGTTAACCATTTAATGCACAACATCAATGTATATCAATAATGTATAAGAATATTTTATAGATCTAGTTTGTTCATCATTGCTAATGAATTTAAATTGTTTTAATTGTCTCGATCGTTCAGTCAACAAAGGCGATTTATTTGTTTACCGGGGAAGCAGATCGTCTGTGTTGACTTTATTGGGATGACTGAAGCAGGTAACATGACCATTTCTAGCTGATCGACATTCTAACTTCCTTTATCTTTTATTTTCGATACAATACATCGATTCAAATGTTTGAAATTTCGCTTTGATAATTTGTAGGTTAAATAAATATCAGCCCACTTCAGAGCGACGAGTTCAGGCAATTAACAAGAATTATCCATTTATTTGAAAGATCAAAATATTTATTTTGAGATGTTCATGTGCAGTTAATTTTTCTTAATATTGTTAATCCTCGTGTTCCGGTAGAGGTAATTGAAAGAATGCCCGCAATAATTCAGACATAATTCGCTAATTTCCGGATACGTTTTCAACTTTAATTCAAGAAAATTGTGACAGTTCAATATTAACATTCCGCCGAGAATTCGAAGGGGTATGCTCGTCCACTGAATTGTAATACCAGTAACAGCTCATATAGCTCAATTTCAGCGGTTCATATCCCTTTTCAGCATTACAGTTTGAAACTACATTGATTAGATTTAGAATTTATCTTTCAACTGGCTATAGCTGAAATCGAGCTCAATATGCTAATCTCTGGATACTACGACTTCAAAAATATGAACTTATTACCTAGAAGCACTGACCTTCACGTGAAATTATTGTATTTGTGTCAGCCATAACAGTTCTAAATCTACCGTTTTACAGCACCAGATAAAGCTACTTGAGAGGTTACTAAATCTTCAGGATAATTAGCACTGGTCATCGTTGCCATTTCAATTGTCTTCATAACAATGGATCGATGCTCTGTTGTTATTACAAATGTGATTGTACCTATACATCAGCCTAAGTGCTGAGGTCAAATACGTGGAATATAGAAGAATTCTATTAACAAAGCGAATTAATTCAGACATGTAATCTTCTATAATTTAAAGTCCCCACTGAATAAAACTCGTTAGCACTTTTCCAGACCGCCATATGATTATCGGTTTATAAATAATATGGACACATAAATATATAAATATCCCTACGTGTGATATCTTTAAGCCTAAACGTTTGACAACTAGGATTACGATTTTCCTATCATTGACAAAAGCCGCGTTCAGGCATCAATAGAAATTTTCTCTAGAATTAGCCCTTAATAGTATTAGCCATTGGTATATTTCTCCAGCTATTACTATACAAGTACTCAAATTCATTGTTTATGGCAAATCTATCTTAGCAGATATCTGTTGTTACTATTATCGAGTGGCTTACAAATCAAAGATTTAGCATTAATTTTAATTACAATAATAGCTTCATTTAGCTAAACTTTGACTGTACCTGTTTGCACTTTTAATCAATAATACGTCATTAGCGTTTCAACTTCTGAAGTGACGTACGAAGAAATAAAAACAGCACCAAGCTAGACATAAAAAATGACAGAGATAGTGTTTGGATACCGGATTAGTCATGCCGATTATTGTGTTTTCTATTTACGTTTCTCGAAACTCGGCAAAGAAATTATGTTTAAAGTAAATCCTTCTGCTGGTTACAATTTTACCATCATTGGAGTCTATATTTAGATCCAATGAAGGGGTGTTTACAGAAGAATTGAATTGTAAATATTGCAAACTAACCAATAAGACATGTACACTGAACTTTCTGTTAAAGATACCACTGTATTTTATTTGGAAATTAGGTCCCTTCTTCCGTAGATATTGTCCTTGGTCGTAGCAAAATACCAAAAAGATCAAGTACCATTGACGAACACTGATGGACAAGTTCGGTGTACAGAAACACTGTGGTCTGAGGACACCCTTCCTGTCACATGAACGCTGCAATAATATAGATATCGTGTTTGCCAATAAACCACTAGCTTGGCATTAAAACATCCAACCATATTAGGGAAA